TAATGGGCACAGGGATGGTGGGGGCCCCTCATAATGGGCACAGGGATGGTGGGGGCCCCTCATAATGGGCACTGGGATGGTGGGGGGCCCCTCATAATGGGTACAGGGGGTGTACAGACCCGGGAACTCAGCACAGGGATGGTGGGGGCCCCTCATAATGGGCACAGCGGGGTACAGACCCGGGAACTCAGCACAGGGATGGTGGGGCCCCTCATAATGGGCACAGCGGGTGTACAGACCCAGGAACTCAGCACAGGGATGGTGGGAGCCCCTCATAATGGGCACAGTGATGGTGGGAGCTCATCATAATGGGCACAGCGGGGTACAGACCCGGGAACTCAGCACAGGGATGGCGGGAGCTCCTCATAATGGGCACAGCGGGGTACAGACCCGGGGACTCAGCACAGGGATGGCGGGAGCTCCTCATAATGGGCACAGCGGGGTACAGACCCGGGGACTCAGCACAGGGATGGCGGGAGCTCCTCATAATGGGCACAGCGGGGTACAGACCCGGGGACTCAGCACAGGGATGGCGGGAGCTCCTCATAATGGGCACAGCGGGGTACAGACCCGGGGACTCAGCACAGGGATGGCGGGAGCTCCTCATAATGGGCACAGCGGGGTACAGACCCGGGGACTCAGCACAGGGATGGCGGGAGCTCCTCATAATGGGCACAGCGGGGTACAGACCCGGGGACTCAGCACAGGGATGGCGGGAGCTCCTCATAATGGGCACAGCGGGGTACAGACCCGGGGACTCAGCACAGGGATGGCGGGAGCTCCTCATAATGGGCACAGCGGGGTACAGACCCGGGGACTCAGCACAGGGATGGCGGGAGCTCCTCATAATGGGCACAGCGGGGTACAGACCCGGGGACTCAGCACAGGGATGGCGGGAGCTCCTCATAATGGGCACAGCGGGGTACAGACCCGGGGACTCAGCACAGGGATGGCGGGAGCTCCTCATAATGGGCACAGCGGGGTACAGACCCGGGGACTCAGCACAGGGATGGCGGGAGCTCCTCATAATGGGCACAGCGGGGTACAGACCCGGGGACTCAGCACAGGGATGGCGGGAGCTCCTCATAATGGGCACAGCGGGGTACAGACCCGGGGACTCAGCACAGGGATGGCGGGAGCTCCTCATAATGGGCACAGCGGGGTACAGACCCGGGGACTCAGCACAGGGATGGCGGGAGCTCCTCATAATGGGCACAGCGGGGTACAGACCCGGGGACTCAGCACAGGGATGGCGGGAGCTCCTCATAATGGGCACAGCGGGGTACAGACCCGGGGACTCAGCACAGGGATGGCGGGAGCTCCTCATAATGGGCACAGCGGGGTACAGACCCGGGGACTCAGCACAGGGATGGCGGGAGCTCCTCATAATGGGCACAGCGGGGTACAGACCCGGGGACTCAGCACAGGGATGGCGGGAGCTCCTCATAATGGGCACAGCGGGGTACAGACCCGGGGACTCAGCACAGGGATGGCGGGAGCTCCTCATAATGGGCACAGCGGGGTACAGACCCGGGGACTCAGCACAGGGATGGCGGGAGCTCCTCATAATGGGCACAGCGGGGTACAGACCCGGGGACTCAGCACAGGGATGGCGGGAGCTCCTCATAATGGGCACAGCGGGGTACAGACCCGGGGACTCAGCACAGGGATGGGGGGGGCCCCTCATAATGGGCACAGCGGGTGTACAGACTAGTTGTATGTGAGCAGCTTGTAATGGTGTTCTGTCTTTCTCCAGGTGGACTCTTTGGTACCGGCACATTCAGCCAGCCAGCCGCCTCCTCCACCAGCTCGGCGTTCGGTTTCGGAGCAGCGGCCGGTACAACAAACGCCTTGTTCGGATCGACGAATACCGGAGGAGCAGCAGGGGGAGGGGGAGGTCTCTTCTCATCCCAGAACAATGCCTTTGGACAGACAAAGCCTTCGACTTTTGGCAGTGAGTGACCGATCCCGGCTACACCGGCACTTTACATACATAGTACACGCCCCTTGCCCCACACACTGAGCAGTCAGTATCCATGGCCAGCACTCCGATGGTACTGAAACTATAAATCCCCCCCATACGATCATCACTCACTGGGTCATGTTCTCTTGGTCTGGTCCTCCTATTGGCTTGTGGACAGTTATAATATGGAATGGAACTGGAACCTCTCCCTTAGATTTCTCACTCTTTGGATCATCCGTGTGGTCTGGTCCTTCCCTCAAGTCCTCACTCATTGGGTCATGCTTGGTTGGTCTGGTCCTTCCCTCAAGTCCTCACTCATTGGGTCATGCTTGGTTTGGTCCTCTCCTTCCCTCATCAAGTCCTCACTCATTGGGTCATGCTTGGGTGGTCTGGTCCTTCCCTCATCAAGTCCTCACTCATTGGGTCATGCTTGGGTGGTCTGGTCCTTC